ACCTCTTCCTGGGCCCCAGGCTTTGCTGCTTCAGATTCTATGTGTTCACTCCCAGCCTCCACATGACTTCTGGTCACTCCTCCAGACTGACTTCTTAGGAACCCCAGAGCTCCATACATGCTTGCAACATCCACCCACCTCCTCCTCTCCCATCCTGAATAATGAATGTCCAGAGAGTCTGAGCTTGATATAATGGGAGTGACTACTAGGGGCCTTCCCCCAAATTTACTGAGGAAATAACTGGCTTAGAGAAAGCAAAAGGAAAATGAAGCCTCCTGCACACCCCTTACCTAATAGACTAGGTTTTAAGCATCTAAGTCCCCTTGTGGGTCCTTAATTACTGAATGTAGGGCAGCCTTTGAGATGAGGGACAGCCCTGAAAAGGACCAGACCTGTTAAAGGAGGGTAGCAGACCCTGAGGTAAACCAGAAGGAGCCCCAAGACTGTCATTGTAGAGATACCTGGTCCCCACTCAACTCTAAGTGCCATGGGAACAATACTTGTGTCTCTTTCATCCAAACAGTTGAAACTTGGACAGCAGGCAGTTTCTAATTAATACTGTCATCGCTGTTGACATCCCCTCAGGTTCATATAATGGAACTTATGAAGCATGAGGAGGTAGGTCTCCAGGGGAATTATTGTCATGAGGACTCCACCCTTATGAGTGGGATTAGTACCCTAATGAAAACAGGGGCTGGGAATGTAGCTCATTGGTAGAGTGCTTGCATAGCATGCATGAGGCCCTGGGTTTGATTCTCAGCAATGCACACACCAGGCTTGGTGGCACACACCTGTCATCCTACCTAGCACTGAGGAGATAGGAACTGGAGGAATAACAGGTCGAGGTCATCCTAAGCTACATAAGGAGTTTCAGGGTAACCTGGGCTAGAAGAGTCACTATCTTAAACAGGAAAAATAAACAGCTAAACCGAGTTTGAAGGGAGCTGCCTTTATCCCCTTTGCCATCACTGTGTGAATGCTAAAGCTTCCTCAGGGGGAGAGAACACACCTCACACCGATTCAGCCAGCACCCTGTGTTGGAACTGTTAATCCCACAGATGTGAGGAGAAAGACCACTAACCTACATCATCATGGCCAAATAAATTAAAGCAAGCAATTAATTAAAGAAAGCTTTTTTATTCATGTACACAGGCTGCCTCCCTCTGTCCAAGAAGGTTCAAAAGATCAGCCTTGGACATTGGGAAGATAAGGACTTTTATAGCTCAGGGTAAAGTGTTTCCAAATGGGGGGTTGTCAGGCAAATAGGCTGGGTTATAGAAACAGAATACAACAAGGTAGTCATAACAACAGGTGGTAATAAAAACCTTTTGAAACAAAAGCAGAGTTACATGATAGTCATAAGAACATTTTGAAACAAGGACATGGTTGCCATTTCCCAGAACAGGCAGTAGAGAACCATGTGTAGTTAAGGTCACAGGTGGGGCATAGCCCAATCCTTGAGAAACAGATTTAATCATGAGCAGGAATGAGCCCAGTTTGTCTTTACGATAAGACAGCTTTCAAGCCTAAGATGGAGGCAGCCTGGTTTATTAGGAACAATCCAGCTAAGGCTGAGGTATTTTGTTACTGATGTACAAACACACCAAGATAGTACTCAATACGCATTGAAAAAAAATTTATACTAAATACAGGCCCTTTAATGATGCTGACTCTAGGGATTTTCTGTAGTTCTGTGCTGATGTGGGATTCCCCTCTGTATGCTGTGAATATGTTTTATTGCCATTGGTTAATAAAGAAGCTGCTTTCTGCCAATGACTTAGAGTAAAGCCAGGTGGAAAATACGAACAGAGATGTGGAGAGAGAGTAGGCAGAGTCAAGAAGAAGCCATGCAGCAGCCAAAGAAACCTCAAAACCTTACCAGTAAGCCACGAGCTTCATGATAAAATGTAAAATAATAGAAATGGGTTAATTTAGACGTAAGAGCTAGCTAGAAATATGCTTAAGCTATTGGCCAAACAGTATTATAGTTAATACTTTATGTGTGATTATTTCAGGTCTTGGTGTTCAGGAAATGAACAAGCAGCCTCTGCATACACCGTGCCTAGACTAGACTTTGCCAGGAAAATTATCAGTGATTCTATCACTGGGTGATATAATCAATCCAGTGAGCAGAAATATATAGAACAAGCAAAAGAGGAAGGTCTTAGCCATGACCTGCTGGAGGTATGGCAGATGAGTGGGGCCTCCAAAGATCTCTATGTCCCACCCCCAAGTCTTAGGCTTGATCTGCATCTGGATTGTTCAGTGTCTAGGTTCAAACACCCTCATCTTTAAGATCTCACAGAGATTTCAAACGTGTTCTCCAGGAGGCCAGAGGATCCTTGAAGTACTGTCAGGAAGGATGTGAAATTCAAGGGGGATCATAGCAAAGCGTGCTCTGAAATCACCACTCCTACTTCAGCCAAAGGGGGAAGACTGTAACCATGGGGCTTCAGTGATTTTTAAAAATATCTTATTTATATATTTAAAAATGTGTGTGTGCATCCAAACTGCCTTGGCTCCCCACAAAGCCTGAGTTTGGATGCTCACCTTACTAGACCTGGATAGAGATGGGGGTTCCTTGGACTTCCCACAGGGCAGGGAACCCTGATTGCTCTTTGGGCTGACGAGGGAGGGAGACTTGATTGGGGGAGGGGGAGGGAAATGGGAGGCGGTGGCGGGGAAGAGACAGAAATCTTTAATAAATAAATAAATTTATAAAAAAACGTGTGTGTGTGCATGTGTAAGTGTGTGTGTCTGTGTGTGCTCGTGCGCATATATGTGGTGAATGTATCCAAATCACAGCATCAATGTGGCAAGAACAACTCCTGAGATTCAGCTATGCTCTTCCACCATGTGAGTCCCTGGGTTCAAGCTCAAGCTGTCAGGCTTGAAGGCAAGTGCTTTACTCTCTGAGCCATCTTGCCAACCTCTAGTGACTTGACTGAAGAGGCAGCTCAGTGGTTAAGAGCACTTTACGCTCTTCCAGAGAATCTATATCTGGTTCCCAACACAAACTGGGAGTTGGATAGCTCACACTGCCTGTAGTTCCAACTTGGGTGGATCTGATGTCCTCTTTTGGCCTCCTTGGGCACTTGTACTTACTACTCACATACATATACCCACACACAGACACTCATATATATATGCATATAATTGAAAATAAAAGGAAATATACATGGTTGGGAATCACATTTTAGAAATGCTGATTTTTTTTTTTAATTCTTGAACTGGGTAATATTGTGTGTATAGCCAAAGGACCATGAAAGAGTACACGTCTGCTGTTCCAATGCCAAGGTTAAGTCAGGAAAATGTTTTACTCTGTATGGTTATTTGGGAAAATAAAAACCATAGTTTCCTTCTTGGAGAACTGTTTTCCAGGCAAGAATGCTAATCTGCATGGTCTTGTTTTGTAGCAGGCTACTTGTTCATTTCCAGGTCATACAGACTCCCGAAATAACCACGCAGAAACTGTATTAATTATAACATTGCTTGGCCCATTAGCTATTTCTAGCTCACTCTTATTTCTTAAATTAACCCATTTCTATTATTTTATATTTTACCACGAAGCTTGTGGCCTGCCAGCAAGGTTCCTGCTGGCAGTTCGTATCTTTCCCCTCTGGCAGCTACCTGACTCTGCCTTCTTCCTCCAGCATTCAGTTTAGTTTTCACTGCCTACTTCTGTTCTGCCCTGCTATAGGCCCAAAGCAGTTTTTTTATTAATCAATGGTAATCACAGCACACAGAGGGGATTCCGCATCTGTCTTGTCTTCAGAACACAGAGCGGAGGAGCCCTGCACAGGATTTTACCCACGTGCTTTGCTGCTTAGAAAATGCTCTCTCCTTAAGTATGCAGAGAAAACCCTGTTGGGGGGACAGGACTCTGTTATTCAGCACCTCCACTTCCACCAAGAACAACGGCTAAGAGACGAGTCAGGCACGGATTGGAGATTGTCACTTGAGAGAAGACCAGAAAATGCAGAGAGGCAGAATACCTTCAGAGAGCTGGTCAAGGGGACTGACATTTTTGAAAGCAGGAAAGAGCGGTTGTTGGCTGGAGAGTGGGAATGATGGTTGTGCCTACCCACAGGGGCCAGGGTCTGCAGCAAAACCAATGGACCCAGCAGACTTCCTGGAAAATGTAGCACCTGGAATTGTGTGAGTGCATGTAGTTGTGTGCATGCATGCGCTGATGTGCAACTCTGGGACCAACCCAACCCCAACCCCTTTGTAGGTCCATTCCCTTCTCCAGAGCCTTGGTAGGCTGGACATGGAGCTTGAGGGCTAGGATATGACCTAGGAGACTTTCGCCTCTTAGCCTAGGAGAGTAGTTTCCTGGGCAAAGGCAGAATGAAGTCTCAGGAGGCATGAGGAAGACGGGAAGCCCAGCTTTGATCAAGGAGATGCTTGGAGGTGGAGGAAATAAGGTCTAGTTATGAGGAGGACTTTGAGACCAGGAGGGGAACAACCTGATGGCCAGAGATTTGGGTTGGTCCTTCTAGAGTCGGTGGGAAGCCTGGGGTGTGGGAGAGAATGTGAGGACTGTGTTGAGAGTAAGGGGATAACAGAGACAGATGCAAAGTTCAGAGTTCATCTCCCCTTAGAATCTAAGTCCAGATGTAGTCATCTCTGTATGCTCACTCGTGTGGCAGGTGTCTGGGGCCTTTGAAGCTGCTTCTACCCTACTTGTTTGCCTTCAGGTGTGGACCTCTAAAGATCCACCAGTCGGGAAGATGGATTGTCCCATACTGTCCTGTCCCAGAGTGCTTTCTCCGCAGGCTTGCAGGGGTTTGCTCACTTACTATATGGTCTCAACCATCATGTATTCCAAAGTCAAAGATATGACAATACAAACCAATACTCTAAAAGCTGTTTCCATGATTCTGTATTGTCTACGCCCTCACCCGAGTACCCATTGAACTTGATCCTGACCCCAAGGCTGAAGAATTGCCTTCATCCGCTGCACTGAGGGCGTGTGTCCATTGTGAGTGTCAGCGTTCTCAGAGTAAGAAATCCTTTAATGGCTGGGGAATCTGGGGATGAGAGGATTCATGAAAGTGTGATGTTGACAGACACTATCTGATCTGGTTCTCACTCTTCAGTCTATCCAGTCGATGACATTTTCCTGAGTCCCTGGCGGGGTCCAGATTTGTACTTGAACCCCTTGGGAAGGACACCGGGAATGTGAGAGGAGACTGTGAGCCCAGGAACAGACTGCCCGTGAGGATGTCAACAACGAGAAGGCCATACAGAGCAGCTACTGTGGGCTGGTGGGAGGAAGCCAAGTGTGACTGCTACAGGCGGGCATGGGAAACCAGATTTGCAGGAAGAATAAAGGAAAAGGTGCAGAGGAGGAGAAGGAAGAGGAAGAAGATGGCAAAGAGGAGGAGGGCAAATCCGGGCAGCTTACCTCCTTTTGCATGAGCTCAGCATAAACCATGCAGGCAGCAGAGATCAGCTCATCAGCATCAAGGTCAATGAGGTTGTTGCAGGCCTGGGAGGGAGACACATGTGCGTGGTGTGTGTGTGTGTGTGTGTGTGTGTGTGTGTGTGTGTGTGTGTGCGCGCGCGCGTGTGTGTGTGTGCATGTGTGTAAGCAGACACCTCTCCTCTCCTGTGCCTTTGGGTACAGGCAGCACAAAGTTAAGAAAGTTACTACTTATAGCTGTCACTGAGGAGCACCTGATGTCGCCACAGCCTGCCGCAGGGCCTGGAAATTGTGTGCTTTGGGGGTGTGATAAGCATAGCCTTCACATGAGGGTCTAGGAAGCCCTGGCATTCTACTACATGTCTCAAGCTCCCAAGGAAGACCTGGTTTATAACTGGGGTACCAATCAAGATTTTTTTTTTCTGGTATTTCAACTGGCTTTTGAGCACATCTCAGAACCTTAGGCCCTTATGCTACGCAGCGAGGGTTAACTTCAAAGCAACAGAGTCTAATGATTCCAATGACCACTCAAGGCTTCAGCTTCTTCACATGCTTACTTGGATGATAAGCTAACATGGCCTCTATCACTGTCCCAGGGCCTTTGGAGGAGTCTACTAAGAACGATCAGCACGGAGCTCCATACTCCAGCTCCCATCCCTTGCTCCCCTCTGGAGGCCAAAGCGGTCATAAACTAGTACACCGTGGACTTGAATCCTGCTACAGAATGGGTACAGGGGTCCAGCTCTAGAGGCTGGAGAGGAATCTGGCCGAGGGTGCTCACCAGGAGGATGGCGTCGCCGCTCATGCTCTCCAGCAGTGCCTGCTCACGCACCATCTGTAGCATGCTGTAGGCCACCAGCACCTGGAAATTCCTGCAGGGCTTCCCCGTCAGCAGAACCTGTGGGCAGCCAGCAGGCCTCAGCCCTGTGGCCTGAGACCAGGACGCCCCGAGGACAGCAAGCTACCACAAACCACACGCTCAGAACAAGATATATATACACTAGAATTTGAGTGAGAGCTCGGTCAGTAATCCATAGTTTCCTCAAAAGCCAGGGGGAGAGGTGCTGTGTTAGATTTGGGCATGGAGAATGGCTGGCCAAGATGAAAGGGTAAGGCAGGTGGAGGCTGGATTGTGGGAGAGTCCATGCCAGGCTGGCAGTCAAGCTGGGTCCTCTGTTTAGGAACAGGACAGCACCAGGTGGTGGGTTCCTTCCTAAGGAGGATAGGATCATCGGCTGCTGGCCCTAGGGACTGTGGTTGGAAGGTGACAGGTGTCCTTGGGGGCCTTGGAGGAAATCAGATGCTAAAAGAAGGCAGCATTCTGGAGGAAAGGAAGACTAAGGAGGCACAGTGAGAGAGAGCAGAGAGCGGGGGCAGGGTGGCTGAGCTGCAGGCTGGCCCAGGAGCGTCAGCAGGTGCCCCTGCACTAAACTGCCCTGTAGACAGTCCGTGGAGTCTGGCGTCAGGATTGATGCGTTCTCCGGCAAGGAGCGAGGATGGCTGCTGACCTAATTAACCCCAAACCACTGAGTGCCATTCAAAGCCAGAAAGAAAAGGAGGCAGGAAAACGTGTAGCTTCTCCCGATAAAGGAGGGGTACAGTCCACATTCAGTGTCCCCAGCTGCATGCACCTCACCTCCCAAAGCCTCCAGACATCATCGAAAGATTTGAAGGCACGCTGGAAGCAGAGGCAGAACCAGGGGAAAAGGGACTGCACGGCTCCAGAGCCCTTCCCTTCTGTGAGGAGAGAAACAGCATGTAAGCTGCCACACAGGCACATAAGCTGCCACACAGGCAAGGTTAGACAACAGAGCACGCAGAACACAGGAAACATGCTGCTTTCCCAACAAGCCATGGAGTCTGCTTGGAGCAGATGTTCGGCGTCATGGACCTAGGCTCCTCCACATAGGTCCTCCCATCCCTGGGTCTGAGCGTGTCTGCTTTGGGCCTTGGTCCTCCCATAGCCTACCTGCTGGTGTAGGAAGTAGTAGTAACTGTAGACCACTCACTGAGGTGTTCGGCAAATTCAGGGTCCAGTAAAGTGATCAGGCTGTTGAGCATGTCCAGATTCTTGCCTACCCCGATGTTAATGACACAGCTGTGCTCCTGGACAAGATGGGAGCAGAGAACAGTCCTCCTCAGTTCAACTCGAGGACATCACGGAACTGAGTCCACCTCTCAGTGCCAGTTCTGAGAGGTGATGTGTCTGGTTCAACATCCACGAGTGTGCGTGCGTGTGTGTGTGTGTTTGTGGTGTTATTGTCTCTGGTTCATACATGCAGCTGTGCCTGTTTGCATATCTTTGGGCAGCCATGTATTCATGTGCATCTTAACATATGGGGGTGGGGTGGAGCAGCAAAGATGTCCCACATGTGACCATCACCCCAGTTACTAGGTTGGAGCCAAGAAAGAAAGCTTAGCAAGCATATTTTTGCAGAGGTGCAAAGAGAGGTAAGGGGTGTGGGAAGCTTCTAGAAGGTGACAAAGAAAATCTTCCCAGATGGTAAACCCCTCCTCCTGGTGCAGAGTAGGGTACACCCTGGGTACTGCTGGGTCCTCCAGGGTGTCTGGACTATAGGTCATGTGAAGGAAATGGGGGAGGGGAAGACAGCCTTGGGGGCCTGACAAGTGAAAGGCCAGCAGAGTGTGCCACCACTGCACCTGGTGAGAGCGGCACTCTGAAGAGCCCTTCTGAACTTAAAGGACTCTACCACCCAGCCCCTCTGACCTCCACCCGTTTGGGGGCTGGAAGCAGTGGCTGCGGCTGTTGGTGCCTTGGCCTGATGGGCCGTGGGGAGTAGAAGATTTGAGCGTGGCTTAGTCCTCACTGTTTTCTGCAGGAAGAACTGGAAGAGCCAGAAGGTCTCGTGGTCATGCTCCACCATTAGCTGGAAAAGCATCACCATCTCATGGAAGCCTCGCTGGTACTCTGTGGGGGAGGGCACCAGTGAGGAAAAGCCAACAGGCGCTGGCCCAGGGTCCAGGAAGGAGCTGGCAAGTATGGGCTGGGGCTCCACCCTCAGCTCACCAGCCTTTGTGTTGCAGACATAACTCAGCAGCAGGGTCTTCTCTAGTTTCTTCTTGTCCACAAGCACATTGCCCAAGGGGTCTTTGGTATAGAGTTTCTGGATGTCATATGCTAGATTAGAGCATGGAACAGGAGGTGACCCTGGATCATCTCCGGCACAGAAAGCGTGGATGAATTCATCTCCTATCCTTAGAGGACAGGTTCCCCCCCCAAAAAAAATCCTAGTGTGAGCGGGCTACAAAAGGCGTATCAACCCCACCAAGCTCAACTCATCACTGTACCCTGCTGGTATGGGCTCCTCCTTGCCTCCACATCTTTGACCAGACCATACCCTTTGTCAAGAATGCCCCTCACTACCCAATTCAGGTCTAACCTAGTTCAAAGTCATAGGGTGCAGGGAGGAAGAAAAGGCAACAGGGACAGCATGTGGTAGGGAAACTCATCCAGGAATACCGGTGCGCATGGGTGGGTGGATTGACCCCGTATTGGCTAGGAAATTCCCAGGTCAAAGACAGCAGCCAAGTCCTAGGAGTCATCTATGCCTGAAAATGACTAGGAAAAGACCAGAATGGTGTCCACCCCCTTCTCTGCCCTGCCCTCCCCACTCCCTCTGCTCACCGATGTTGTTCTTAGTCTCTGTGAAGTTCCCATGCAAGTTTTCCAGCAGGGGCTGGATTTTCTCATACATCTGGCACAGGGCTTTGTAGTTCCTCCTGAGAGAACACAGCAGGGCTGAGAAAGGTGGCCTTGCCCTCCCAAGAAGGGACGATTCAGAGCAGCAGCAGATGCTGAGCTTAAGAGGAGTAGGGTAACCTTGCCCACCTGGTCCCCACCTGCGGTGCTTTCTCCCCCCTCAGCCTGAGCAGCCAGCCCTGTGTTCTCCAGCATGCAGCTGGCACAGTGTGGAGACAGCTTAATGTGGGGTGATCTCTGTGGTCCAACTATAGTACCCAAACCCTGGGGCCACCACTTAACAACTGAGTGTCTGCAGAGGGATGTCATCCTCTCTCTCTAAGCCTCAGTTTCTTCATCTGCAGAGTGGGGACAATCTTATGCTGACCCCTGCAATTTGATTAACTGATGCAGTAACTGACTGGTGGCCTCTAAAAGTCATGGTGTCCTGGATGTAACACCTAGAACCTGTAATGCGGGCTTATTTATAGAAGGGGTCTTTTCCAGTGTGATGAAGGATCTCAAGATGCGGTCATTCTGGGTTTTCCAGGGGGACCCTAAATCAAGTGACCACTGTCTATATCAGAGACACACACAGAGGTGGGAGGGCCCATGTCCACTGAGACAGAACGTGAATGGATGTAGCCTCAAGCCAAGGAAGCTTCTGTGGGAGGTGTGGAGAAGGACTTTCTGTCTCTTAGAGCCTTTCCAGGAGGCCAGCACACAACCTTGTCTTCCGCCTCCAGAATGCCAGAGGGAAAAATGTCTGATGTTGTCAGCCACCCTGTTCATGGCACTTCACTCATTTGTGACTTTTTGCCTCGGCAATCATGGTGTGACACACACAAGGCCTGGTCCCTGGCAGTCCAACATAAACACCTCTAAGAAGTAAGCAGTTCACCATAGGTCATTCGGACCCGGTATACCTCGAGCACACACGTGGATTGGAGAGGCCTGCAAGAGCCAAAGAAAGGGGACTTGGGGAGGAATCAGACTCTGCCCCAGTGTGCTACACCGGAGAGAGAAGAGGCCAGCACCAGGCTCAGCAAACCCACATCCCGGGGTCACAGACGCGAAAGTTAGCAGCCTCTGGTTTGGGGAGCATCCCTACCAACATGAACTGTAGCTGTTCTTTCCATGTGCATGGTGACATTCCTGTTTTCATAGTGAGATCTTTGTAACCGCTCTGTGAACTGTAATGTGACCCGCATTTGACAAAGGAGGAGACTGCACCTCCAGCAGGGAAGTTCCTGAGCAAGTTTACTCAGAGTGTGATGTTAATGCTAGAATTGAATTCACTGCCAAACCCAAGACCTTTCCAAGTTCAAAATCCATGTATACTTACCTACAAAGATCTGCCAATCGGGAGGAGTGCCCTGTTTGGTTCTGACCTTGAAGGCGTTTCTGCATTTATTTATTTCTTCAATGTGTGTGTGTGTGTGTGTGTGTGTGTGCGCGCGCGCACGTCTGCACATACCACACACTTGTGGAGGTCAGAGGACAATTTGTGAGAGTGAATCCCTTCTCTCCATCCACCATAGGGGTGAACTTAGATTATCAGGCTTGGTGGCAAGTGCCTTTATCCCCTGAGCAGTCCCACTGGCCCGAAGGTGGGGTTTTGGAGACAGCTAATAGGGAGACCAATGTGGGTGGAGGAAGAAAGTGAACTAAGAGCAGAGGGAGCTCTTGGTTCCCAGCTTGGCTAGAGTGGGGCAGCTGAGCCAATGGAGAAGCCCTGTGCTGGTCAGTTTTACATCAATTTGACACAAGTTAGAATCATTTCAGAAGGAGCCTCTGTTAAAAAAAAAATGCTCCCTTAGCTGGCATTGGTGATGCACACCTTTAATCCTAGTACTGGGGAGGCAGAGGCAGGCAGATCTCTGTGAGTTCAAGGTCAGCCTGGTCTACAAAGCTAGTTCCAGGAAAGTCAGAGCTGTTATAAAGACAAACTCTGTCTAGAAAAACAAGGAAGGAAGGAAGGAAGGAAGGAAGGAAGGAAGGAAGGAAGGGAGGGAAAAGGTTCCCACCAGATTAGCCTGTGGGTAGGCCTGTTGTGCGTTTTCTTGATTAATGATTGATGTGGGAGGGCCCAGCTCATTGTGGGAGGTGCCACCTCTGGGCTGGTCCTGGATACTACAAAGAAATCAGATTGAGCAAGACATGAGGTCCAAATCAGTAAACAGCACTCCTCCATGGCCTTTGTATCAGCTCCTGCCTCCGGGTTCCTTCCCTGACTTCCCTCCGTGATGGACTGCAATGTGGAACTGTCAGCTACAAAACAAACCCTCTCCTCCCCAAGCTGCTTTTGGGCATGGTGTTTCGTCACAGCAATAGAAACCTAACTCTAAGATAGTCCCTCAGGAATGGTCAGATGGAGGGCGCTGGGATGGGAGAGCTGGGAGTAAGAGAAATTAGGCTATCTGAAATGTCAGCAGACACACCTCTGGAACTGTCTAACCTGAGGACATGAGCAGCCATACCAGGCACCAGGAGGAGATGTGGGCAAGACAGAGAGGTGGAACCTAGACTCGGGAGACAGTTCGGCCAATGGGTTTTGGTGTAGCCGTTGACAGGAAAGGGACTGGACCCAGGTAGGAAAACTCCTAGGGTCCTTCACAGGTAGGCTGTGCAGGAGCAAGGCGATGAGGGGAGTTTCAGGCCAAGACCCTGCCTGTAACTGCTTATTTGGTCAATGAAACCAGAGAGGAGGTGCCAGCTTAAATCTGGTTACACTTATGTGGGTATGTACGTGGGTCCTGTGTGGGAAGCATCGGGCGTCTTCTCAGAATAAGGAGTCCATGTGAAGAAGAAACCTGAATCTCTAGGCTGAGAGAGTGCCCCCCCCCCGAAGCCCCAACAACTCTCCACTGAAAGAGCCTCTGGAAAGTTCTACCTCCTCTTGCTGTCCACCATGAGCCGCTCATCCCAGGAACTCTGCCATGAGTAGTAACCTGTGAGGAACTTCCAGGCTTCTGTCCTCACGGAGGGGTGTAGACCCTGGGCACGGGAAGGCACGAGCTCTCAAGATGCCCAATGCAATGCCAACCCCTGCCATCTGCGCCACCCCCTAATGCCAGGGCAAGGCAGAGGGTAGCTTGGGAGTCATACCCTTTCCAGGATGTTAACACAAATGAAGTCCCGAGACTTGGCCAAGTGACCGTTCTCATCGAAGAAGCTGTCCCATTCCGTCTTGTCAATAGGGGGGTTTCTTTTCTCCTGGCAAGGACAACCAGATTAGCCCTCCACTAGAGGCTTTGGGCCTTCCTTCTAACCTGAGGTGATTTTCAAATGCTAGGCTCTGGACTCTGTGCAGGATCAAAACTCACAGCCTCTGGCTCACACCTAGAATACTCTATCCTAACTGCTGAAAATATGTAGAAAACAGGATGGACAATAATGTCCCCGGCACACAATTTACCCAAGTGAAAACCGTAAGCACTTTGAAGGCGCTGCAATGCGGGAATAGTTAAGTCAACTATGCTTTATATACCCCGTGGAATACTGGGAGGCATATAAATAGATGTTTGCAAGGCATGAATAATGATCTGGAAAGATACAAATGTTACAGGAAAAGGCACAATTTGATACTTGACATTCTGCGTGTGCACCAGTACTGCCTCTCCATGTGGTCTGCGGTCTTCCAGGAGCACTACCCATCCCCACGCTGGGCCCTCAGTGTTCTCAAGGCTGCTGCTCATATTCTGTTTCTGCTACGTTTTACAAAAACTGTACCACATAGGCTCGAACGTACAGTAGATTCTTAGAAGAAAGACGGAAGGCTGGGCATAGTGGCGCTTGCCTGTAATTCCATCCAGCACTTGGGAGGTAGAGGCAGGTGAATCTCCAAGTTTGAGGGCAGCCTGAGCTACAAGTGAGTTCCAAGGTATACGAAGCTACACTGTGAAACCCTGTCTCAGCAACAACAACAACAAAAACAAATAAATAATAGGAAAGATACTGAAGACAATACAAAGAAAACATCCTCCATTAAAAAACAGTAGTGGGAACCAGGTGTTGGTAGCACATGCCTTTAATTCAATCCCAGTACTCAGGAGGCAGAGGCAGGCAGATCTCTATGAGTCCGAGTCAAGCCTGGACTACAGAGTGAGTTCCAGGATAGCCAGGGCTACACAGAAAACAACAACAACAGCAAAACAAACAGTGGGAATGAGGAGATGGCTCAGCAGTTGAAAACACTGGCTGTCGCCCCAGAGGACCCAGGTTCAACTTCTGGCACCCAGGTGGCAGTTCACAACTGGCTGTAACTCCTGCTCCTGAGCCCTTTTCTGGCCTCTTTGGACACGAGGCATATGTGTGAGGCACAGACATACACGTGGGCAAAACACTCATACACATGAAATTTAAAGAAAAACAAAACCCAAAACCAATAGTGATTGGAAATGGGGATGTAGCTCATCTAATAGAACGCTTGCCTAGCACACAGGAATTCTGGGTTTGATCCCCAGCACCACATCCTGGGCACAATGACACACCTGTGGAGGCAGGAGGCCAGAAGCTCAAGATTATTCTCAGCTATACAGTGAATTTGAGGCTGAGCTGGGATGCCCAGGGCCCTGTACCAAAGTAAAACAGAAAGCTACGGTGATTCTCTTTGAGTAAGTTGGGGAGTATAAATATTATTTCCTTTTTCATGTGTTTTATGCTTTTCTATGATTGTGCTGCTTGGTAATGGGGAGCTATAAGATAAGCACAGATGAAACCACTCGTGTGCTCTGTTTTATCTTCCCTGAAAATGTAAAGCAGCCTATCCCAGGAATAGTAAAATAAGGAGATGTTGTGTGTCCGTGTGTGGCATGCACACTTGTGGGCCATATGCCTGTGTATGAGGAGTAAGTGCAAGGCCTGCAAAACATTAATAAGAAGGCAGCTAAGAGTGAGGCTGTGGGATGAACATCCTCTCCTGCTGAAGAGAAGGAGAGATGTGTTGATGGACAGAACCCAACACTGGCCAGGGGTGTCCCAACAGTCCCAGGAAACTGTTAGGAATGCATCTTTCAGGCTGTTCCTCAAACCTTCTGGACCAGAAGACCCTCAAGGGGTTTGTATACAAATTTAATTTACAGTCCTGTGTTTACATAGTCAGGTATTAAGAGGAAACCTTTCCTGAATAGCTCACACATGCTTCATCTACCGGGGCAACACCGAGACCTAAGGCACCAGGTGGTGCAGGGAACTTTGGCACTGGTTCTGCCTGATGCTGGCCATCAGCTCCACACTCGGGAGTCCACGAGTTGATAGGAAGAACTTGTCAGCTCACAGCCTGGGTTGGAGAGGCGCTCTGCCACTAACTGGATACCTGATTGCCAGGATGCTAAGTCTCACTCATCAAATGATAATAGCCCCATCACATCCCATCTCAGAGGGCTGGGAGGAGAAGGAACAACTATAAACAAAGCATTTACAGCATCACTTGTACACACCAACTGCTGTATCGTAGCTTATTCATTATTATTATCATTAGTATTATTACTATCATTATTATTATCCTTCTCTAAGTTTGAAGAACTGAAGAAATATAGAATTTTCAAGACTTGGTGGTCACAGGCAATAACATCGTAACATTTAAACTTCAGGTGCTCATTTTGCATTTTTATGTATCATTCTATTAATCACATGATAAATGGATCTTGAGATTGGTTAAGGTCATTATAATTAGTTATGATTTTGAAAAATAGTGCATGGAAAATTTCCATGACTCAAGGGGACTAAGGAATTGTTTATTAACTGTGCTTGGGACCTAGTAACGGAAGCACTACTGCCACCTAGTGGCAATATACCAAAATTGTTGGCAAGTGCACCAAAGCAAACTCACCAGCATCTGCACTACGCTGAGAAACTCACTGGTTTTAGAAAGACACCTCTGGGGAGGAAGGCAGGCTGGGTTCTGAGTCCTCCCAATAAGGTAAAAAGGAATGTAGGTGCCTGTTCTGTACTTGGTGTTGATGATGGGACCAGAGTCCAGCTGGTCCAGCTCCACCTTTCACGTCCAGCCTTCCCACTCAGCAGACACAAAGAGTCCCAGTGCAAACCAGAGGTTGGGGAGGGAGGCACTTGGGACTGACGAACATGTGTCAGTCAGGTATGGTGGTAAAAACTTGTAAGCCCAGCACTCAGAAGGCTGAGGATCACAAGCCAAGGCCAGGCTTGGGGGGCACAGTGAACCCCTATCTCAAAGCAAATCCAAGAACATACCAGGATGAAGGTGGCCGACTGCTTTGCAGAGAGGCTGTTTTCTGGAGAAAGGGTGGTCATGTTCGCCTCTAGCTGTCTTTGGAGTTGCCTGTGTCCAGATCTCCTGGGGAACCCTCGTGATGCTTAGGGAGCCAGGTAAGGGGACCTTCCTTTTAGGAGATGAATTGCATTCCCTAAAGGAACAGGGCCTCTCTTGACATCCCATGCTTGAACAGATCCAGCTAGGTGTGTCACAAGGCCCTGGAACCTTCATCACAATGACTTTGGAATACACACAGAAGCCAAAGGAGTAAACCTACTGGTCACCCCCCAAAATTACAGTGTACACAGGCTCCACTCCGGAGGTTGGGTTAAGAGAATACCAGGATCTGGTGGGTTGAGTTAGCCAGGACAGCCCTCCTGGAAGAGGTGGGCCACAAATTCCTTCTTCATATCACTGGCTCTTCACCTGTTATTTTACCAGACCAGCAGCAGAACTAAGTGACAACTAGAGCCAGAGCCTCAGGTTTAGGGAGGACTCTCCAAAATGATAAATCAGTATGGCTATTCTGGAGACCAGGAGTGGATTTTTTTTAAAAGTCTATTTAGGGGACTAAGGTTTAGTATTTAAGTAGTGGTTCCTGGCATGTGTGGTGTGTGTTATGTGTGTATGTGGTGTGTATATATGACATGTGTTTGTAGTGTTTGGTGGTGGTGGTGTGTGTGCAAGCACACGCGTGTGTGGTGTGTGTACACTTCTGGACACCAGAGGTTGGCATGGGGTATTTTTGTTTTTTTTTTTTAAAGATTTATTTATTTATTATGTATACAACATTCTGCCTCGATGTATGCCCACACGCCAGAGGAGGGCGCCAGATCTCAGTACAGATGGTTGTGAGCCACCATGTTGTTACTGGGAATTGAACTCAGGACCTCTGGAAGAGCAGCCAGTGCTCTTAACCTCTGAGCCATCTCTCCAGCCCAGGCATGGGGTATTTTCTTCAGTCTCTGTATGTACCATATTTTTTGAAATAGGTTTCTCACTCAACCTGGCTAGACTGGCTGGCCAGTGAGCTCCAAGGGATCCACCTGTTTCTGTCCCCAGCACTGAGGTTACAGATGCACACAGCTGTGCCTGGCTTTTGACTTGGGTGGAGATCCAGACTCAGGGCATCATGCTTGTACCACAGCTCTTTGTGCATCCGGTCACCTCTCCAGCCCTCTGTTTCATTTGCCTGTGTACCCCGAGCATGGTCTTGACTGTGCTAAGACCGTTGGTTTGAACACCTACTGAATGAATGATTTAATAATGGGCTAAGAATAGCTGACACTGCCAGGTGGAATAGCACCACACCTTTGATCCCAGCACCCGGGAAGCAGAGGCAGGTGGATCTCTGCGAGTTCCAGGTCAACCTGGTCTATATAATGAGTTCTAGGACAGTCAGAGCTATGTAGTGAGACTCTGTCTCAAAGAAAACAAACAGAGTAACTGACACCCTCCAGGATTTCACACCCCTTTCGTGACTTGGACGTGTCCCTCCCCCTCTTACCCTGATTTCCTTTAGACCATGGTCAATGTGGAACTAGTTTGTGCTCATCCTCCAATGCCCACCCCCACCCCGCTTTGCAAACTTCCTGGTGCCTGATAAACGCTGCTGTTAAAAGGATCTGAGAAGGCGGGGCCTCTGGCTCCAGAGCCATGTTCTCTGCCTCCAGCATCGCTTGCCTTACTATTTCCATCCATTCTGACTGGAAAGCATTCTCAGTCATTACACAAACCAAATTGCAGTCAGGAGAGCCAAGGTGGAACTTGGAGTCTGACCTTAAATTTGGATGCTCCCGATACCCTAGATTCCCAGCCATGAGAACAAAACACAATCAACCTCTGCCTTTCATATCCTTATTAACTGAATTGTCCACATGGAGGTCTTGGGTGGGCCCAATTCGTTGTCTCCTTGCCTGCTACTGTTCTGACTGGCAGCACCACAGGATGTCTCTGAAAGCCCAGCACCTACCCTCTCATCCCTCTGCTCCCCAACCATAATAAGAAGATACGGAGGGCATCTTTGCCTTAGCCTGCTGTCCCAAGTCTTCACAGAGCTGGAGAGGTGGGTAGCACCGGCAGGAACTGAGTGGAGCAGGAATCAACTCCTTGCACCTCAGAACAGCTTCATTTGAAGGTCTGCGAGGTTTCCAAGTCAAATGCGGGGAGCAGGAGACACAGCGTGGGCGTCTGAGCGCGAGGATGACGGATGCCTCTGTTCCTCCACATTAGCAATGCACACTGCGTAGAATTAACTGCAAGCTTCCTTGAGAAGAGGACTGGGCAGAGAAGAGTTGGAACGATCTGAATGCTAAATGCAACTTGGTTTCTAAAACGAATGTGGTGGACATAGATCATCTGCTGAACTTCCTTTAACCTTCGGTTTCCTGGGTACAGATGCTGGGTCATAACTCTTCAAATTAGCCAGCCCAGTCGACTCGTATTATTGAAACCTCGGAGAAACAGTGCAGGGGCTTAGTATTCAAACAGAATCCATGAACCTGCACAGGGCACAAAGGCCCCGACTCTGACCCATACCTTCTTTGCAGATTCTTTCCAAACAATGCATTTATTTGTAGATGTGAGTGTATGTTCATGCGCGTGTGTGCACAATTGTGTATGTATGCACAGAGACAGAATAAGACTTGGGAAGTCCTCTATCACTACCCATCTATTCTTTAAAGAAGGCACGCTCCTTAAACCTGGGGCTCCCACTTTCTCCCTTAGCCTAAAAGCCAGCAAGCCCCAGCTCTTCTCCTGTCCTCCCCACCACTTCAGAGCTGGGGTTACAGGTGTGTGCCGGAAGTCCAGCTTGTTACGTGGGTGCTGGGATCCAAATTCCTGCCCTCACGATTGTGCAGCAAACATACAACTGTGAGCCATCTCCCCGGCCTCGCTTGCAGTCTTCCCAGCCAGCCCTTCCCATGGCCAGGGGCTAAACAGTCCTTGCATCCAGTTTTGCAAATGATTGCCAAAGATTCTGGGTGCCAGGTTATTATTTTTGTTTTTCTGCATTTCTCTCTCTCTCTCTCTCTCTCTGGAATCCAGCTTTCTCTTTTAAATCTCTGCATGGTAATGCTTCAGTGTACAAGAGTCACAGGTTCTGAAAAGCCATTCTTGGGGTCAGCATTACAGAAGTTCACCTAAGCCATCCTTTCCCCAGGAATCTGGCTGTTAGCTGATGAACTACGTTGGGGAGGAGAAAGGGGGCCTTCCAGGGATTAGGGGGCTGTCACCTTCAGACATTTCAGTATTTGCCTTCTTGCTTTTTGCTTTTTGTTTGTTTGTTTTGTTTTTTGTTTTGAAATAGTGTGTCATTGACCTGGAATTCTCCAAGCAGGTTTGGCTGACTGGCCAGTAAGCCCAGAGGTCTGCCTGTCTCTGCCTCCCCAGCACAGGGAGTATAAGTATGTGTCTCCACACACAGATCTTGCTCCCTGGGTTTGGGGAGGAGTGACTGAGCTCAGGAAGAAAGCTCTTGGGTTGTGGTGCCAGGGAGACTTGTATCCAAATCCAGAGGCAGTGTCGCCAATAACTTGACCTTGGTCCCAGCAATGGGGAATAGTGACCAGCTGCAAGTTGTCTTTGACTCTGCTCAGCTTCTGGAAAGTGGCCTGGGCCTAAAACCCTCTCTTCCCTAGAGGTAAGGTGGATTAAGGTTGTGCGGAGGGCATCACTTTCCTGCAACGATCTTTTCCTTGTTCCCGCCTCAAAGTGTGCTCCTTTGTTCTGCTTAAGCTTGTGCGTCATGCGGCTCCTAGCCAGCCCTCCACCCCCACCCCGCACCAGCTCTCTTCCAGGTGGAGGGGGAATGAGGTTTTTACCTGTAGCACAGAAGGCTATGTGAAGCTCATCACCTGTGTTGGTGGCAGACTGAAACCCCTGGTCACAGGGGGACAGACACTATTAAAGTCACTCTTGCTCTGTCTCTTCTCCCTGTGACTAAAGTGTGATTACATCTGGTGCTGGGTGACTTGTGTGTTTCTTGGCGACACCTGCCAGCCGTGGAGTGGGTTGACACCCTGAGCCTGCTGCTCCTAGCAGCAGGCATTGTTGTGCCATTTGCCATCTTCCACACAATGGGACTCCTCCCGGGAGGCGGGACAGAAGTCATTCCTTTGACACCATCTCCTCTTACCCTGTGTGAGTCTCGGTATCTTCCCAGGCGCTGCTGGGAGGAAGGGGGGATGGTAATGCCTGTTGGGTCTGAAGGATAGATGGAGCAGGATCTGTAAAGAGCCCAATGTGGCTAGCAAGCACTGCGGCACCAGCCACGAGTTCTCACTGCACCCCAGTTTTATCATTGCTATTCCCTATGCCCAGGCCTTGTTCATAAAAATGACCGTGGTCAAGACTCGGTTAAGATCCCACCTGATTCCATGAGGCTTGTAGTAACGTCTCTGCTCACGTTCAGAGATCCCACAAATCCTCTACATGGACCCAGGAACCAGAGAGTCTGGAATTACTGAAAAAGCAATAAGGCCAATGTAAGGAACTGAGTCCCTTCATGTCAACGCCTCATGACGCAACTCTGAAATGCCATCCAGCTGATTCTCTGTTAATAGTACCAACCCTTCAACGTATACGTCCCTAGGACCCTGAGCATCTGGGACAATCGCGTTCTTACAAACCAAGCACACTGAAGATGCTATGCTGTACTTTTCTCTTTGCCCCTCTTTGTGGGGAGCCAGGATAAGTTTAGACTTAGGGTGTCAGGCTTTCTGCCCTCACCCCCACAGAGCAGGGTATTTCTGACAGTGCTGGAGATGCCTGCGTGTCATGTGTCACCTGCGTGATTGGAACAGGGGCGAGGGTGGAGCGGGTAGCAGCAGCGCTCTTCTGAGCATTGAGAGGATTGGAGTCACCCCAGAACCAGAACAACCCATCCGCACTGTGTATCTACTGTACTACTTGGGGTGCTTAGGAGTTACGTGTTGTATTTTGGGGAGTTTTTGGGGAGTCCAGCAGTCAGCCTATTGCCTACAATAGTAAACATGGTCCGCAGGAACCATTCCAGATAAAAGCAAGCTGGGCGATG